GAAAGCTGGGGAGGGCTAGCCTCCTACTAGTTCGAATTAAGGGGCTACACACCCCTTAATTCGAACTAGTAAGTTCGAACTAGGCTAAGTCCTCGTACAATGAGGTTTACCTAGTTCGAACTAAGCGCTCCGCTAGTTCGAATTATGTTCGAACTAGCGGAGCACTAGTGTAGCGCCTATCAAAGTTAATTCGAACTAACGTCCATTAGTTCGAATTAACTTTGTAGTGTAGACATACCCTAAGGGACTTAAATTGCAATAAGGGAGATTTAGGTCAGACCTTAGGAAAAACTTCCTAATTTTAAGTGTAGTTAATCACTGGAACAAATTACCTGGGAGGCTGCAGAATCGCCATCACTGGAGGGTTTTAAGAATTGATTAGATAAATACCTGTCAGGAATGGTCTAGACCAGGGGTCAGCAACCTATGGTACGCATGTCATAAGTGGCATGTGAGCTGATTTTCTGTGGCACGTGGGGTGGGAGCTCAGCCCCCCCCGAGCCTCAGGATTTCTGTGCAGCTGTAGGCTGGAGCACCAGCTCCGGCTTCCTGCTGGGGGGGGCGGGCCCGGGAGAGGCAGGGCGGGGCTAGGATGGACCAGCAAGACCCTGCACTGAGCTCCGCATCCTTAGGCCTGCCCCTGCCCCTGCACACTGCAGGCTCTGCCTCCTGCTTTGGGAAGGGGCGGGGCTGGGGCTGCTCCACAGATGGGGGCTGGGCAGCCTGTCTCATGTGGGGCGCCAGGGCCCAATCTGCGCCGTGCTGCTCCCTGCGAGCTGTGGGGGGGGGGGAGACCCTTCCCCAGCAATCTGCTGTGCCCAGCTGAGCTGGAACCAGCCCCAGAGCCACGGCAAAGGGCTGGTCTGAGCAGGGAAGTGCCTCTGCCCCACCGCCCCCACACCCAGTGCTGCTCCCGGGGGGCTGCTGCCCTGCCGATGAGTGTGCTGGGGCACAGATATGTGGGGACAGGAGGGGGGTCTGAAGGAGGATGTGGGGGCAGGATGGGAGAGGTCAGGGGTTGCACTGAGGGACATGGGGCAAAGTGGGGGGATCATGGGGCTGAGGGGAGTGAGGCTGGAGCAGAGGGAAGTTGTGAAGGGAGGGGGGATACAATTTTACTTTGCAGAAGTTGCACTTTCCTTTACTCCCCACTTCTTTGCCTCCCCCTCCCCCCAACTAGCTATTTGGCTGCATTCTCACGCTCTCACCTTTTCTGCGTTACTTCCCCAACCCCCTCTCGTACTAGGGATGTTAAATATCAGTTAATTGAATAGTCGAGTAACCTCATGAATTCTTATCGGTTAGTCGACTATTCTATAGTCCAGGGGGGGGGACCGGCAGCCGCCTCTGATACAGAACAGAACAGGGTGGCAGCAGCCCCCGTCTAAGGTGGGTCTGAGCTCCTGGACCCGGTCTGAGGCAGAACTGAGCCAGGCTGCCTGCCTGCCTGGCTCCTAATACATTTTAAATGCAGAGCCGCAGCAGGAGTAGGTTCTGGACCCAGTGCAAGCCAGAACTGAGCTGGGCTGCTGACCAACCTACTAAAAAAATTAACCTATAAGCTTCTGCTGTTGGTTAATCGACTAGACTATTATAGCTCTACCTCATACCCCCACCCTACAACCTCTCCTGCCACCAAACTCTCTTCCAGACCCTGCCCTGCTGACCTGTCCTGCACCCCACCTTCCATCCAGCTCCTGTACCCCTCTTCCACTCTCCGGCAGCCCTGTCCCACACATTGAAACCCTCATTTTTGTTCCCACTCCAGAGCCGAAGGGGGTCCACAAAATCCACTCACTCTGGAACCCCAGAAAAGTAAATCTGGCATAAGGGAAACACTGAACCTCAGTCCTCCCTGTCCCTTCCCCTCGCCCCATGGGGGCTGGAGCGCAAGAAGAGTGAGGTGTCTCCCTTGCGGGCCACATCAGTGAGGGTTGGGGGGTTTTGGAGGAGTATTTTTGCTTCTCACTTGTGTGGTCCCCAACTGATTTCTCTGTGAGTCAGTGTGCCCTGACCCCGGGCCAGATTAAGACCTTTAGAGGCCCTAAGCTCTGAAAAGATTATGGTGCCCCCCCCCTATGTAATTCAAAATAAAAACAATACAATACCGTAAAATCTGATTTTTTTGTTTTTGGTGCCCCTGCTTTGCTGGTGCCCTAAGCATGGGCTTAGTCTGCCTATTGGGTAATCCAGCCCTGCCCTGACCCAAAAAAGGCTCCCCATCTCTGCCACAAATAAAGAAAACATTGAAACCTTGTGTGTTGGACATAAATTAATATTTTATTTAAAATAA